AGTGATTCTTAAGAAACGCAAATTGATCAATATTGATTAAATCATAATCAATAAGATAGGAAGTCAATTGAGCTTGCACCTCTTTCTCAACAATCTTTGCAATATGACTTACAGTGGATATTGGTCTAAAGTTGCTCATACACTCTTTACTACCCTTTCCTTTATAAATTGGCGTTGTCCGCGCAAGTTTCCAATCATCCGGAACACAGCCGGAAGTTAAAGAAAGGTTTAAAATGTGGCAAAGAGAAACAGAGATAAAGGGTGCCGCTAATCTAAGTAGTTTACTATCAAGGTCTAACACATCAAGATTTTTTCAGGTAGTTGTTTCAGTCAATCAAGTACGGTATGAACATTTATATAATCAAAGGAGAAAGAATATTCGCAAGGTGGATTTTTCCATTTTGGAAAATTGTTTCCAAAGGTTTTTGACATTTTTTCGCCAATATTAGTGAAATAATCATTGAAGTCATTACACTCGATATTAGAAGAATATGTGTTTTTCGTATTTTTACCCGTTAATTTACTTAATTCATTCCACATTTTTTTTGGATTTTTACTATATCTAATATTGACAGAGTTAAAGTAATTATATTTCGCCTTTTTAATCTTGGCATTTATCAAGTTTCTAAGCCGTTTATATTCTGATTTATGTTCAGGATTATTCATAACTTTGCTTTTAATGTAATCTCTTTTATACATTAGTTTAATCAATTCAGGTGATATCCACGGGGAGTATCTATGTTTGACTCTTGTATTTCTGATGGGTACATGTTTGTTGCAAATATTAGTAAAAGAGTCATAAAATATATCCCAAGCTCTATTAGCATCGTTTTCATTAGGAATGCTTAGTAAATTCTGAGAACAATTAATATCATGAAGAAACCTTTCTTCATCAAAATGTTTGTAATCTCTGAAATGAATTGTCTTATGTTTAACTTGTTCTGTGTCAATCTTTAGGCAACTATAGACCAAGAAATGATCACTAACGGCAATTTTTGCAATACCACTAGTATGATGCTGTTCCGGCATTGTTGTAAGAATTAAGTCAATACAACTTGAGGAGTGTGATGTAATCTAAAATTAATTGTCTCATCACAAATAAATTCTCAATCATATTAATAGGATTTTCTGACAGATTTTCATCAAGGACATAATCAATGTTTAAATCGCCGAGTAACACAATTTCTCTATCCTCCAGGAAAACTTTCTCTTGGGTATCTACAATCGTATTTAAGTATTCGTAATTGGCATTTGGCGGGCGGTATAAACAACACACAAGAATATTTTGATTATTTTTTCTAATGAGCTCAATCCAAACACCTTCAATATCATTATCATTGATATCAATTCTTTCCTTAATTGATAAACTATCCTTCACATAGATGCAAACCCCGCCACCCTTTTTATCTAGTCGATCTTTGCGGATCAGTTTGTAGCCCTCTATTACAACGTAACCATCACTTATACCTTCATGGAGCCATGTTTCGGATACGCAGAAGATATCGATTTTTGCCCTTAATACAATTAAACGAATCATCAATTTTATTAACAATACTTCTTGCATTAAGATGTGCTAATTTGAGTTCTTTTCTGACCTGACAGTTTACCAACCAGTTGGTCTAGGCCAGTTACCGCTTCTGCAGTACTTGGAGATATGTACTATATTATATGTGTATATTATATATATGTATATATAATATATATATATATATG